TATGGGGGTGCTCAAATGTCTGATTTCACATAGAACTACCGGTTTTCTCCCAATAAGTTAATATACAGCCTATTAAAATAATGCTGTAAATAAGAATCTGAAAAAAAAGAAGCTTAAAATAAATATTTTAACATGCGTGAATAAATCCAACCACCCCTATAGATTTAAGTTTCACTTTCCATAATCCGTGACCGACAGAGGAGCATTTTGGCGACAGGGATTTAAAACTTTAAAAACTTTTTTCGATCAGGTAGGGTACAAGTGATTTCAAAACATTTCAGCCGGTTTATATATATATATATATATATATATCTCGTGTATATATTATTTATCTAGTATAAGGTTGTGTTGCGCTGCAGTAAAGTGCTTCATTGTAGTACTATGGTGATTATCTCTTCAGCACGCAGTGCGAGCAGGACAAACAACAATGCAGAATATTAATAACTATGACTGGGACTGTCATATACATAACATTATAATGAGAACACCATTATAAAGCACAATCTAATAGGTAGAAAAAATATTTATTGTTGGTTTCCTGTAGCTGTATCCCTTCCAGTGTTAATTTTGACAGCAAATTTTGATTTAGTTTTAGTCATAGTCTTTTGACTAAAATGCCTTTTATTTTTAGTCATATTTTAGTCATCTGAATTGTTTTTAGTTTGTCGACTAAATCTACAGTAAATTTAGTCGGCTAAAATCTAATGGGTTTAGTTACAGTGCATTTATTAAGCATTTCTCTAAAATTTCCAAACTCATTATATAGGTTTGATATTAAGGTTTTAACATGATAGACACTGATTTAACTGTGGTGACACACAGCATGCCTTTGTTAAAATTAAATAAAACCACTTCTCATAAAGAACAAGAACATGGTCGTCTTATTAATGAAATACCAATGGTTATATAGGCTAATTATGCATTCTTTATAGCAACTTGTTTACCATATTCTTCATTCTTTCAAACAGACATATTTATTTCTATAAATAAATTTAGATAAAACTTTAGTAGACGTCAAGAGCAGTGCGTGATTTTCTGTCGTTCTTTTGTTGCTTGATTAACATCAATAACTCGGACAATAGCAACTAAATTAGGCTGCTATCCCTTTAAAATTGAATGCACAGCTGCAATGGATGCAATGTACTGATACACGTTCTCCCTACTGCTTACGTTCACTTAAGACGTAATCAACTGTGTTTACGTGAATACTCGTCAAAACGGTGTAATTCTCCGTTCATGTGACGCGAAAGAGTACTCGCGCACTGTGAGATGCGCTTTCTGTGCGTGTATGCTTCAGTGTCTGCACTCAGAAAACCGGACCGAACTGAGTTCTCTCTTGCGTCTTCGGATTTATCCATATGTCTGCTCTTCTCTTTTTCCCACATATTGACATTTTTTAAAGTTTTATGCGACGTGCAGCAAGTGTATGTTAGCTTATGTCCTACTGGTTCATATGTACGCATCTAACCTCCGAATCACGCAGCAGATTCGTTCTGAATAAATCTCTTCCCAAATCGTCCCTCCCTAACATTTTCGTCTCGTTTTTATTCGTTGACACAAATGTCAATAGATTTACGTCATAGTTTTTATCATTCAAAAAGAGTTTTAGTTTATGGTCTCGTTGTCGTTGGTGAAAAAAATGTCATTGATGGAAAATTATGACAAATTATTTGTCATCGAAATTAACACTGATCCCTTCTAGCTACAACAGCGAATATAACACATAATTACTGTATTTGCATTACTGTAAGGTAGGGCTGCACGATATATCGAAATAGCACAAATGTAAATATCGCAATATGCATATCGCAAGTGCGTGTGATATCTGAATCATTTTAATAATAGGCTACTTAAATCAAAACGTTGCAAAAGGTCAAAGTTTTAGTTCGACGCATATAGCAGAGAATTGCTTGACATTAAAAAGTTAAGTGCAATAAGCGGCAGAAAACAAATCTTTGCCATCTCGTCTTGCTGATTGACTCTCACCTGAAGCGCGCGCACAAACCGCATCACGCGTTTCAGATGGCATGCGAACACCGAGTTGATTCGTCTTTCGCATCTCCTCCTTATGTTTGAACGGACTTTGAACGGACACATACACACAGAATTATGTCAATAGTACCCGTCTCGACGATCATTCTTGTAAACGCAGTCGGTTATGTTTTAAATGAATGTGAACGGCTGAGAAAGAAATCGGATGTGTATCATTATACTGGATCCGTGCAGTCGGTTTTAAAAGGGACAGCAGCCTATAAATATGTGCTGCTGAATGTGTCACTAATGTTAATCAAACAACAAAACCGCTATAACAAAGATTAATCTAAATTTAATTCATACAGTGAACACTATTCAGTGTTATTTTACACTTAATTATTAAAATTCTGTACCTGAATACTACTGTTTATATTATCTATGCTTGTAAATTGTGTATTTCTTTTATTTTTCTTTTTCTTAAACTTACGTTTAATCATATTTGAACTTTCTCAGACTATAGTTTTTGCTGTGGTATATGAAGAAGTTTTTAAAGTGTATGGAAAGCAAAGTTACAATGATATAAATTTTTTTTGTTTGTATGTTCACACTGATGTTAAAATTACATTTTCTGATTAGTGACATTACTTTTTATGTAATGCTAAAACACTGCTGATCACTTTCAGAAGTTGTAGTGATTCTTTCTTTTCCAAGAAAGAATGTGAAACAAATTGGTTATATAATTTTCATTTTTAAATATTTTAAAATATAATTGAAATTGATTTTACACACTTTA